TTATTTGTATTATTTTATTATTTCCCTTCTACGTGACTTTACCAAAAGAACCAAGAAGATTTCTGTCCAGAGTTCGAATTTCTCGCTTGTGGAAATGTTGAACCTATTTCGCACCGTGCGTGGCTAATCAGAGCCGTAGTTCTTGAGCTGTTCACGTGCTGTCTACAAACGGACACGATACATTCTGCAACAAGACCCCAAGTGTTGCAGTAAAAGTTTAATGGAGGGGAGAGTGGAACGGTTTTGTAATCTGAATCGATTTCTTCAATTCCTTGCTGGCGAATGGACTTCAACAATGTTGCATTTCCCATAAATATGCTAAATTCCTTCTGATATGCAAATTCCTTTGTCAAGGCGCTCTTCCCCCTCCAACCCAGCTTAAATATACGCTGCCAAGCCTGGTGGTGTTCATTCAGACGCTGTCTTTCTGACAGAGCTGTTCTTCACCTGAGGACGGCTGCTTGCGTTGTGGCCGAAACGTCGTGAGAATTATTTTATTATGTTTAATTTTTATTATTTTATTACTTCTCTTCTACGTAACTTTACCGAAAGAACCAAGAAGATGAATCCCTGCAGTCACGAAAGCTTTAAATCGAAATTTTATGTTGGAAACGACCTTCGATTAACCTGGTAGCCCCTACATATGAATTAACCAGGTGACCCTGGGACATGAATTAACCAGGTGACCTTGGGATATTAATTAACCCGGTAGCCTGGGACATGAATTAATCAGGTAGCCCTGGGACATGAATTAACCAGGTGGCCCTGGGACATGAATTAACCAGGTGGCCCTGGGACATGAATTAATCAGGTAGCCCTGGGACATGAATTAACCAGGTGACCTTGGGATATTAATTAACCACGTGCCCTGGGACATGAATTAACCAGGTGACCCTGAGACTCGAATTAACCCGGTAGCCTGGGACATGAATTAACCAGGTGGCCCTGGGACATGAATTAACCAGGTGGCCCTGAGACATGAATTAATCAGGTAGCCCTGGGACATGAATTAACCAGGTGGCCCTGGGACATGAATTAACCAGGTGGCCCTGAGACATGAATTAACCAGGTAGCCCTGGGACATGAATTAACCAGGTGACCTTGGGATATTAATTAACCACGTGCCCTGGGACATGAATTAACCAGGTGACCCTGAGACTCGAATTAACCCGGTAGCCTGGGACATGAATTAACCAGGTGGCCCTGGGACATGAATTAACCAGGTGGCCCTGAGACATGAATTAATCAGGTAGCCCTGGGACATGAATTAACCAGGTGGCCCTGGGACATGAATTAACCAGGTGGCCCTGAGACATGAATTAACCAGGTGGCCCTGGGACATGAATTAACCAGGTGGCCCTGGGACATGAATTAATCAGGTAGCCCTGGGACATGAATTAACCAGGTGACCTTGGGATATTAATTAACCACGTGCCCTGGGACATGAATTAACCAGGTGACCCTGAGATATTAATTAACCCGGTAGCCTGGGACATGAATTAACCAGGTGGCCCTGGGACATGAATTAACCAGGTGGCCCTGAGACATGAATTGATCAGGTGACCCTGTGACATGAATTGACCAGATTTGAAGTTTTCGTGACTGCAAGGATCCATACTCTTTGGTTCTTTCGGTAAAGTCACGTAGGTGAAAATAAAAAATAAAAAAATAAGAATAAAAATAAAGCGTAAAATAGAAATAACTAAATTAATTTAGTTACTAATTTTAATTTAGTTAAACATGTATGTGTTTTAATATTTACGTGTTTTTTTATGTAGGGCCTCTTTATAACATATGCTACAGGCCCTGCACTATCTTAATCCGGCACTGAGTAACAGAACGAGTGCAGAATCACCGAACCGGAATTGATAGCTCCAAAGTGCCGGGGCCCGAAGCATATTGCCGCTTTTGCTACTCGGATATAATCCGGCACTGGCTATTACTATAGTACTACACTGCCTTTGACTTTTATGAACGACTGGGGTGTTTAATGTTAGCCATTTGTATTATATGGCTGTATAGTAAATGAAATAAGTATAACCCGTAAAAACAAAGTTTTTCACTATAAATCCTTTCTATGCGTGGCAGCGAACTTAATATAAAGGATTCAAAAATATATTCGCCCGTGGAGGACGCGGGGATCGATCCCGCGACCTTTGGCATGGGAAGCGAGGGCGCTACCAACTGCGCTACTCCGCCACGGCCTGTGGAGGAGTTACGCTCTGGGCTCTTATACTGTGACGTTCAGCCAAAGCCATGAATGAGTTCTATTTGAATATATGTAAAATAATTTTTTTTGCCTAAAAAGTGTAAAATTTTGGGATTTTTTTTTCACGAACATTAATTGTCTGGCACAACGAGTCTGTGTGGAAAATGTCAGCTCGATTGGATCACGGGAAGTGGGTTAAAAAACGACCGAAAGATTTGCACGGTCGTAAGCAAGCAAGCACGCAAGCAAGCACGCAAGCAAGCAAGCATGCGAACTTAATATAAAGGATTTTAAAAAATCACCTCGAGGACCCTGAGGCGAGCGAGGATGATTGTGGCCGACTCCTCCCACCCTGGACACTCTTTGTTCCAGCTACTCCCCTCCGGCAGAAGGCTGTGGTCCATCAGGACCAAAACCTCACGCCACAAAAACAGTTTCTTTCCATCCGCTGCTGGCCTCTTCAACAAGGCCAGGGGCTCAAACTGACTTTAACACAATATCTGCACAATGACACCGTGCCATATTTGCACTATGTTACCCTATTTGCATTTTTGTAATTTTATATTGTATGTTATAGCTATTATATGTTTTAGATTTTATTTTATTAAATTTTTACGTACTTTAGCTCCTTAGTATTAGTTAGACTTGTACCTTTAGTATAGTTAGACTTGTAAGCCACTTATTTAAGATTCCCATATGTTGAATGTATATGCACCTTCCGGCCAAAGTAAATTCCTTGTCTGTACGAACTTTCATGGCGAATAAAACCCTTTCTGATTCTGAAAAAATACAATTACTTTACCGTGCAAGTTAAAAATGTGTGTTTTAATATTGATTCTTTTTATTTAGGGCCCCTTTATAACATATGCTACAGGCTCCGCACTAACTTCATCCGGCACTGAGTAACAAAATAGAAAGTAGCATATTACCACTTTTGCTACTCGGATATAATCCGGCCCTGGGGAGGAGCTTTGTCAAGCTGAAGTTCACCATTAGGGGGCGTGCGTGCGAGCTGAGTGCGACCGTGCAACTCCGTGGAGAGTAAGCGCCCCCTTGTGTCGAGATTAGTGCTGAACGATGAATTCATTTTCAAATAAAAATCGCAATTTGAAACAATGCAATTACCAAATCGCAAAGGCTCAGATTTTTTTGCGATTTGAAAAGTGCTATTGCTTTCTTGTTGGAATTGTTTTAGTTTTTATTGTTATAACTTCATTTATGTAACTTAACAATTGTTCTATGTTTGATTGTTCTATTTTAATTAAAACATTTTAATAATGTTGGAAGAAATTCATATCTTTTAAGTTCTCATCCTTGTATTTCTATTTAAAGCTTTCGTGACTGCAGGGATTCATCTTCTTGGTTCTTTCGGTAAAGTCAGGTAGAAGGAAAATAATAAAATAATAAAAATAAAACATAATAAAATACAATTCTCACAACGTTTCGGCCACAACGCAAGCAGCCGTCCTCAGGTGAAGAACAGGTCTGTCGGAAAGACAGCGTATGAATGAATAGATAGAATTCATTCAGACGCTGTCTTTCCGACAGACCTGTTCTATTTCCCTTCTACGTGACTTTACCGAAAGAACCAAGAAGATGAGTTCTCATCCTTGTATTAGAATAGAGCAGTTCATATTTTGATGGTATCATGTGGTAATGCTCCATCGCATGTTTTAAATCTATTACACAGTGAATCTTGAACTGAAGCTTGACTTGAACAAATGTAATCACAAATCGAATCGCAATATCTATCAGAAAAATCGCTATTTGATCGTTTCCCCAAATCGTTCAGCCCCAGTCGGGATTTGCGTCAAGAGCCATCGGCGCGAGCCACAAGTGTCATGTCGCTCTGCCGCTGTGAAGGGGTTTGTCTGGGGTGTCCGTGGCACCGAATCAGAATCTGAAAGATTTGATTTACGCCGAGGTTGCTGCTCGTATCTCGCTGTGTGTGTGTGTAGGCCTCGGCAAGGAAAGGTAATTTACCCTTTTTACCGGGTAAAAGGGTAAGGGTAAAGGTGTCGACATGCCAAGGGGTAAGGGTAAAGGGTAGGGTAAAGGTAGGCTCGTTGTTTTTACACTTTTACCTTACCTGCTAAAGGGTAAAAGGTAGGGTAGAGTGATTTATTGTGGTAAGGTAAAATGTAGGGTAAAGGTAGGCTCGTTGTTTTTACACTTTTACCTTTCCTTGCCGAGGCCTATGTGTGTGGTCGTTGTCACTCACTGAATGAAGGCGAATACTAAGATCTGACCAAGTTTTTAGATAGATATTAGTAGGGCGTCGGAATGCATTGAATCGCGTGCTGTGATGAAATCGGACATCAGCACACACGGTCTTGCACGCACTCACTTCATGAAGTTTAATGCAAGATCGGACACTCACAGTGTCAAGTTTAAGATGGTGTAGCTCATCGGAATAGACTGAATAGCGTGCTGTGATGAAATCGGATATGAGCTAAATAAGCATTTACATTTATTTTACACGTTAAAATTTTTTATTTTTACACATGTAACATTACATTTGTACACCTAAAAATTTTCATTTTTACACGTTTAAAAATGTCATTTTTACACCAAAATTTCATTTTTATACTTGAAAATGTTTCATTTTTACACATTAAAAAATTAAAAATTTTACAAAGTAAAAAAAATTTTCATTAAATGTTTACACATTCAAGATTTTTTTTACACATTTTAGACACTTAACATAGCAGTCTGATCGACAGTATGAACAGATTAATGTAACATAGAAAAATAATTACGTACAAATCGTACATCAATAACCGTCGTTGGCTTGTTACGCTTTGTGAACCGCGGAATGTAATTCGAGATTTTAAAAAAGAGATATTTTCCAGACGACCACCGGATGGACTTAGCCGGGCATCGATAGAGCACGCAGCAAATCACGACCCCATGATCCCACGACCCCAGGACCCCATCACTCCACAGGGGTGCTCGCAACGCCGCCGTAGCGTCAAATCTAAAATTCGCCACGTTCCGTTCGTACTTTGATTGTAAATGTTGTGGCTTTGGTCTCCAACACACAACTGGTGCTGTACTAGTATACTACACTATACACTACACTACTATACACTACTATACACGACACTATACGCTACACTGTAATCGACTACACTATACACTATACACTACACTATATACTACACTATACACTACTATACACTACACTATACACTACACTATACACTACACTATACACTACACTATACACTACTATACACTACACTATACGCTACACTGTAATCGACTACACTATACACTACTATACACTATACACTACACTATATACTACACTATACACTACTATACACTACACTATACACTACACTATACACTACACTATACACTACTATACACTACACTATACGCTACACTGTAATCGACTACACTATACACTACTATACACTACACTATATACTACACTATACACTACTATACACTACACGATACACTACTATAAACTACACTGTACACTAATGCTGTACTAGTAACGAATTGGTTCTGTTTCCGTAACACAAACCTAACTAATTGGCTGTGTCGGGTGTTGGCGGGTTTAACAACGCAACATTTATATATTTGCGTGATGTAACCCAGCAAAAGAACTGTTATTATGGATGATATCAATCGCGAAAAGCCTACCACGTTGTTAAACTAATTCAAAAAGTGTCTTTTTTTAAAAGTTGATCATGTGAAATTGCAGTCGCCGCTCCGCGTCTACATCGGCCGTACGAACGAACGAAAGGAAGAACGGCGACTCGCAGTTAGCGGCGGTTGGAGGGGTGGTAGGGGCGAGGAGGCCCGGCTCTGACCCTCCGCTGTCAGTGCTCGAAGTCGACGTGGATCTCCGGCCGCGTGGATGCGAGGCTCCACTTCGCTGCCTCGCCAAAGTCGTTGTCGCCCAGCCTGCGGAGAGAGCGGCCAGCACCCGTTGAACACGCGTGGGGGTCACTTGCGGCGGGCTCCGACCCCGTCGCGTCGGGCAATTGCGGCGTACGTCACAGGTGGCGGTGTTGGTGGGAGGGAGAGGTGGGGGGCAGCTTTTGAGAGTGATTTTTATTTGGTATCGCGGTGGCTTGGAGATGTTAACTGCCTCGCCTGGTATACAGGAGGTCGTGGGTTCGATCATGGACCCTGGACACCTAGTTATGTACTTGGGGTCTGCGTTTCTCTCATCATCACGGTGGCTTGGAGATGTTAACTACCTCGCCTGGTATACAGGTCATCGTGGGTTCGATCCTGACTCTGACGCCTGCTATATATTTGGAGTTTGCGTGTCTTCCTCCCTGGGTCTTCCAGTTTTTCCCTCCACACTTAACATAACACAGTGCTGCAACTAACTCCCCCAGACTCTCACCAACCCGCACTGACCAGCGTAGTAATCAGAATAATCTGTTATTAACCCTTTCCCTTACATGTGTAAGGACAGTACGGGGTGATGTAGGGACAGTACGGCTCCCCGTAGCCATGGTTACTAATTCACGTAACAGGAACAGACAAAATCGGTGAGCTGGTGCATTTTGTGTAATATAATAAGACTCACATGAGCTTTTTCAGACCGCTGGCGGCGGTTATGATGTCACGCAGCGCTGGCGCCGACTCGTCCGTCAGTGAACATCGGGCCAGACTTGGCAGAGGGAGAACAAAATAGGGTGTTAATACACACGTCAATGTTGTCCGTGTCTCCAACGTGACACGGCAAGCGACTGCAATGTTCAGGCGGTTTACGTCTCATCGTCAAAGCTTTAAACTTATGTAATGGCGACTTGACACACGTCTCTTGAGATTGCACTTTATTGAAGACACGTTCACTTGGCTTCAGACGGAGATCCCACCGCAACAGCCCAGAGTCTCCCGCGCATCTCCCTTATATACCGACCGAGGCCACGCCCCCCTTCTCGATCATTCTCACCGACTCTGGATGCTCGCACCACCAGGTCGCGTGGCGACGCTTCTCTGTGGTGAGTAACGACGCCTTGAAAAATAGAGGCGCTACGCCTCTCTAAATAAAATCAAACGCCAAGCCACTCGCGCGTTCCGAAATTCGGCGGTGAACTGGGACACCCACCCTGCCAGCTTGCAGAAGTCTCAGAATGGGAAAGGGATAGCAACTCACAGCAACTCCTCTAAGCTCTGGCCTCCTCCTCCTCCTTGTGTGATGCCCTCCGCTAAGACCGTCACTCCGTGGTCTCCAAGCTCGTTGTCTTCCAGCCTGCGTTGGTGTGACAGAGATGGAGAGAGCGGTGGCAATTGGAGAAGCATCGCGACTGTACGTTGAACTTCTTTCGCACCGCACGTAGCCATCCGTGCTAATTGGAGGTGTGGGGATAGGACAAAATAAATGCAAAAAAGCAGTTGTAAAGAAATGAGTTTTCAGTCGAGATGAAATCACGCATTGCTCCAGTGGCTTCTTAATATCGGAAGGAAGAGCGTTCCAGACGGCCGCAGAAGCAGCGCATCTAAAAGCGCCACGTGGCGATGTGGCAACCGTCTTCGTTCGACGGCCGAACGAGAAGCCGCCGCTGCGACGATTTGACGACCGGAGTTCGCGTGACGGTGGTTCATAGCTCTTTCATGAGGTTCGCGAGATATCGCGATTCATTCATGGCAAGCTCAGAGCACTGACCCGAGCACTCTCAAGCGCTCGCAGATGCGTACGATGTCACGGAGCGACGACCCCGACTCCTCCGTCAGGGAGCAGCATTCGAGCCTGGAACACAAAAGGGGGAGCACAGCACGGCGAGAATATTACCGAATTAGCATTCAATCGGATGGAAACCTGCTACGTATATACGGAACGTATGTTACGTGTGACTTCTTTCACGCCGTACGTAGCCAACCGCGTGAATCGAATGTGTGGGCGGGGGGAGGGGCGAGGGTGTAGTATGTACAGCGGATCAAATTGCGCTGCTATTCGACGACCCGTTAAGCCTCATTCACCGCTCACCCAACCGCCAAAATGGGTAAAAGTTTAATGGTTACAGGTCCATAGTCCCTCGACGTGAACTATCCCACGTCCGTACCATGTACACTCGATGTTAAAACTAAGGAAAATTTTTACTTTAGCAGGTAAAGCCGACTGAGCTCCTGTGTAGCTCTTCTTTCAGAAGTGACCTGGCCACAAATGGTAGCTCAACGAAGTGGCTTATCATCATCACGTGGAAATGTGTGTTCTAAATGTGGAAGGTAGGGTTGCCAACTCTGGCCGAAGCTATTTCGCGAGACGTTTTTGCTTATTTAGTTTCTTAAAATATGCTTTCGCTAAATTCTCCCGGATTGTTTTGAGTCGCCAGGAGTAGATCGATGTAAATTGCGTTAAGAGACTCCCGGCCATTCCAGGAGGCTTAGCAACTCTAGAGATAAGGGGGTGCCACGGTGGCTAGGAGACGTTAACTACCTCGCCTGGTATACAGGAGGCCGTGGGTTCGATCCAGACCCTGACGCCTGCTGTATTTTGAGTGTGCATGTTCTGCCTCTCCCCATGGTTGCGTGGCAGGCCCTCAGGTTTTTCCCTTCGCATTTAGAATCAACGTGCATTCAGAGTATTTGGCCGCTGTAAATTTCCACACGACGACGATGATGATAAACCACTTCGTTGAGCTCTCATTTGTGATAGCCTGGGTCGCTTCTGAAAGAAGAGCTAAGCAGCAGCTCAGCGGGGCCTTACCTGGTCGAATAACAAATAGTTTTAGTTTGTCGTTGTTCGTGGGATCCCTAGATTGCTTCATCCCAGGTCCGCCCCAACCACCTCTCTTCCTGCGCTTTTGTTGTCGCCGTTGTGACCTGAACCAGCGGCGCAGCGACTCCGTTATCGGCTCAGGGGGGTGGCGGTGCGGCAATCGGTCAGGTGGAGCCCCCCCTCAAATGTTGTTATTCGTCTCTACGCACGGTCGCGCCGAGAAGCTATTCTCCATCACGGCCTCCTCTTTCGCCCCCTAATCGCATCGTCGTCGTGACCAGCGGCGGCTCGCGACAATTGCCACCGGGTGGAGGCTGTTGTGAGTGACCTCTGAAAAGACGGTGTCATAATTGAGAAATGTCATTGGCCTTCGCGTCATTGGCCTTCCCGTGAAAGTGATACGACTGCCTTGTCTACCAACGGTGAGGCATTTATGAACAAAACGAAACGAGAACAACAAAGCGTCTCAAATGCTGACTCCTTGACCCTCAAAAGTCGGTTGAGCAGGACCCAGTTGCTTGACAATCAACTTCTCCTGCAAAGTCGTCCTTTCCAATGGAATATTTAGGTAGCGACTCCCACAGTGTTCGTTGCTAATTCTTCGTTCGCTGCAACCTGCTGTCATCGCCATTGCTGTCGCTTCCTCCTAAAGCGGGTCGGCCGTGACCTGCTGTATCTGTACAGTGCGACCTCGCGTTGTGACATCGTCATTACAGCCACGGGCGCCCTTTTCACCGCCCCGAATTTGTCTCACACGGCTGTGGCAAAAAATGCGAAGGCTCATCGCGATGAACAAATTAACTCATTTAAAAAAGTCGTTTTTTTAAAACAACGCTTTTATTAACAACTTCAGTTTAACTAGCGGTCGAAGAAGTACGTCAATGGCGCCTGAGACACGCGGCACCTGATTTTTGTGCGAGCCGATTCCACAGTTTAGGGACCGCGGCGTTTTTGACCTACACAAATATCTAAATGAATAATAAGGCGTCCATACAAAATATAAATTGCTTTAAAGTAGCGAATTAATTGATTTATGTATGCCGATTTTTATACAGGCATACATTGTCACCGGATCTGAGTACGTGTGCAAAATGTGGAATTGATTGGACAACGGGAAGTGGATGAAACTTTGATTACAAGATTTGACCACGACAAACAGAGGAATCAAGTTAAGTAAAAGCGTTGAAAAAGGGAGATCTCTCACTCGGACGCCTTCGCAGCTGCCCCGAGACCTCCCCGAGGCACAGATCAAACTGCGGCATTGCAGCGGCTTCTCATGCGAACAACTTAAAACGTTATTCCTCATTAGGCAATTCACGTTGAAAGAATCGTCAATTTTTATTTTTTTCAAACGCAAGCAAAAATTATTTATAGAAAAGTTATTTTTTAATTATTATTCATTTTTAGAAAAATCTTTTCTCATCTCCAGCTGCTTGGTGGGGCGGCCAACGCCCCTGAGTGGATAAACCGCGCCTGTCCAATTTGTCTCTTTTCACAGTCGTACCGAGAGGCTATTTTTTTCTACATCGCGGCCGCCCTCTCTCGCCACCTTACTCGCATCGCCGTCGTTACGCTCACGCGGTCGCGAAGCGTTCAACGCCGTAGGTAGCGCTCCGTCTTCGCAAAAAATGCAGCCAACTGCAGAGTCCGTGGTAGTTAAGCAGTTGCGATATTATGTTGACCGACTCTAGGTCAATCAGATTAAAGCGTGGTGCGTAAAATGAACGCATTTTGGTTAAAAAAAAATATCATGTAACCGCGTTTTAAATCAGTGTTCGTCCGTGTGTTCTTTGACACGCTGCTGTTGAAAACAAATCTCATGGTGGGTGTCAAATGGGGCCCCAACTCGTAGCTCTGATTACCACGCCGCTTGTTACACCACCACTGACCTCAGTACTTCCAAGCAACCGCCGCATCTCTCCTTCAACGCCTCGGCCAATGCCTTGACGCCTCCATCTCCGATCTCATTCTCGTTGAGGCTGACACCACACAGGGACGGGGTAAACATAGACAAGCAACTGCAGGCGCAATCCATTTGTGGGTCAGTCGATTTGTGGTTAAGTCCATTTGTGGGTCAGTCAATTTGTGGTTCAGTCAATTTGTGGTTCAGTCCATTTGTGGTTCAGTCCATTTGTGGGTCAGTCCATTTGTGGTTCAGTGCATTTGTGGTTCAGTCCATTTGTGGGTCAGTCCATTTGTGGGTGACTCAATTTGTGGTTCAGTCGCTTTGTGGTTCAGTCCATTTGTGGTTCAGTGCATTTGTGGTTCAGTCCATTTGTGGTTCAGTCCATTTATGGCTCGTGTCATTAATCATTAAACGCAGTACAGCGTGGAGATGTGGGGCATTTTTCCACCCCCCCCCCCCCCCCCCCCACTCTGGACACCACACAAATGACAATTTTCTTGATATTTTTTTTGTGACGATGGATTTCGTTGATTGATGCAACCGAGATGGGGAGACGAGAGGGGAGAGGTAGGCAGCGCTGAGTCCATAGAGGACCTGGTCAATTGTTGCAACGGATCCCGGCAATGATTGGGGAAGCGAGTGGAGGTTGTGGAGTATTGGGTTGGCGTGCTCTCGTATCACTTTCAAGGGCAGGCAACCTTCTTTGTGTCACCCAAAGCACAATTTGCATTCGGGCTATGCCAGGGCCTGTTTTAGCTCGAGCAGAAACGACCTTCCTTTCAGAAAATAAAGTAAATGACTTACCAATTTTTTTCATTGTTACCAGGTAAGGCCCACTGAACTACAGTATGTAGCTATTTTTCAAAAGCGACCTGACCATCACAAATGATAGCTCAACGAAGTGGCTTATCGCGTGGAAATTTAGAGCAGTCAAATACTCCAAACGCGTGACGTTGCTTCTAAATGTGGAGGGAACAACTGGAGGACCCGGGGAGAAAAAAATCCACGCGACCACGGGGAGAGAGAGACGCAAACTCCAAATATACAGCACCCAGCGTCTGGGTCAGAATCCAACCAACGACCTCCTGGATACCAGGCGAGGTAGTTCACATCTCCTGGCCACCGCGGCTGTAAGTCTGGCCTTTCTGCTGCTGAGTCACCATGGTTACGGGATGTTAACTATCTCGCCTGGTACGCAAGGTTCGATCCCGACCCTGATACCTGCTGTATATTTGGCGTTTGCGGTGTCTCTCTCCCCGTGGTCATGTGGATTTTTTCCCTCCGGGTCCTGTGGTGTTTCCCTCCGCATTTAAAATCAACATCCGTTGAGATTATTTTGCTGCTATCAAATGTCCACATGGTAAGCCACTTTATTGAGCTATCATTTGCGATAGCCACGTCGCTTATGAAAAAGCCTGCTGAAGTGAAGTTTATACCTCGGTGGGCTTTACCTGGTAAGATAAAAAATATATAGTTTCGTTTTATTTGTATATTTTCGCAAGCGAATTGTTTTCCTTTTCCATACTTGGCACTCCTATCGTGTTTGTGTGTATTGTGTTTGTTGTTGTTGTAACGCCTTAACAGGACATCTGTGAAGATGGGCTTATCGGATTCCTCCCGCAGTATAAAATACAGATTCTGAGCCTGGCACCACTTACACCAGCGTCTTCAAGCTCTGGATGTGCGTGACGATGTCTCGGATGACGGCGCCAGAGCTTTCCTTCAACGAACACCTCCACAGGCTGCGTGGGGACAAAATAAACTGGTGAACAGACAAAGTCGGCTCTCGATTACTGTATTCGGTATAAATAAGGGGGGCGGGAAAGAGAGGAGGGATACCCCAAGACAAAACACGTACGTCATCGCAATTGAATGATGTACGTGTACGTCACTGGAGTGGAATCTGAAGAAAAACTGATAATGTCCACGTACGTCATCGCAATGAAATGATGTACACGTACATCATCGGAACGGAATAGGAAAAAAACTGATAACATCCACGTACGTCATCGCAATGGAATGATGTACGTGTACGTCACTGGAGTGGAATCTGAAGAAAATTGTATGTGTCCATGTACGTCATCGCAATGGAATGATGTACGTGTACGTCATCGAAACGGAATCGGAAGAAAAACTGATAATATCCACGTACGTCATCGCAATAGAATAATGTACACGTAAGTGATCGGAACGGAATCGGAAGAGAAACCGATGGCGTGCACCACGTGTGTGTGCATTGTTATCAATGAGGGTGAACAGAGCGACAGGGGTGGAGTAAGGAGTCGGCGTGGACAGCGTTCTCACTGCAGCTCTTCCAGATGCCTTTGCTGTGCATCTTTGTTCAGCAGCAGCGCGACGCCAGCGTCGTTCAGGTCATTGCCTCCGCACCTTGGAAACGACGCACAAAACGGGCGTCAGTGCGTAGATCATGGGGGTAAGGGAATCTGCAATCTGTGGTCCGAAATAGGACCTAAATTTTCGATTTAAAGCTTTCGTGACTGCAGGGATTCATCTTCTTGGTTCTTTCGGTAAAGTCACGTAGAAGGGAAGTAATAAAAATAATAAAAATAAAACATAATAAAATACAATTCTCACGACGTTTCGGCCACAACGCAAGCAGCCGTCCTCAGGTGGAGAACAGGTCTGTTGAGTCTGTCGAGTCTGACAGACCTGTTCTCCACCTGAGGACGGCTGCTTGCCTTGTTGAGTCTGTCGAGTCTGACAGACCTGTTCTCCACCTGAGGACGGCTACTTGCGTTGTGGCCGAAACGTCGTGATAATTATCTGTCGAGTCTGACAGACCTGTTCTCCACCTGAGGACGGCTGCTTGCGTTGTGGCCGAAACGTCGTGAGAATTATTTTATAATGTTTTATTTTTATTATTTTATTATTTCCATTCTACGTGACTTTACCGAAAGAACCAAGAAGATGACCTAAAGTTCATTTATGAAACAATGAGACAATGCGTTGACCATTTCTGGCAATAAAACAGCTGTGTGTAAAAATGGCAGCGTGTAAAATTGGCATAAATAAACATGAATAGACCAGTATCATGTGTGGTTAATGCGGTAACTTGATTGAGGGGGGAACGTTTTTTTTAGTTATGTTTTCCTTTCCTATACTTTGCACCCCTATCGTGTCTGTGTGTATTGTGTTTGTTGTTATAACGTTCTGACCCCGTGCCCCTACTGGACATCTGTGATAACAAAAGAGCTGTGTGGCTCATCGGATTCCTCCCGCAGTATAAATACAGATTCTGACTTGCAACTTGAAACGTGCAATGCCACGAGGTGGCAACACTATAAAACCATCGCTCACTCGACAACCATAACGCACTTGACTACTTTACAAGAGGCGAGAGCGGGCTGCAGTCGTTTAACCTCCTCCTCCGTCATCCCGCAATCCTCCAGGGGTCCGGCTTTACTCTGCACGACGTACGACAGAGCGGCACAGTCTGGCGGGGACAGCCTCACGCCAGACAGGTCCACCTCCGCCACCATCTCCATTATGCCACGCACGGTGTCATCATGGTGCAGCTCGTGGAGGCAGTGCAGGAGACTGACGAGCCTGTTCTTGACCGTCGTGGGCACGCTGGCACCTTGCGTGCGGTCCGCGAGTTTGGCCATGCTGCGCCGGAGCCACTCGATGATCTGCAGCTGGCAGCTGTTCCTCGGCGAGCCCAGGCAAGCTTCGAGGATCTGCCAGGAGTGCGGAGACGCCAGGCCGGCGAAGAACCTCTGGAAGATGTCGTAGCGCCCATCGTTGCAGTCCTCAATGGCCGCTATGACTTCCGCGACAGTGGGGCTGTGTCCGGTATTCCGGTCCGAGAGGTAGACTGCGAGCGACGCAAAGTACTCCTGGATCGTCAGGTGGAAAAACGTGTAGAGTTTCACCGCCTTCACAGCTTCGCTCTTGAACACTTCGCCCAGGAACGTGCCCTTCTGAATCTCCACGGCATTGAGATCGATGTCGAAACGCTTCAGGTCCTTGTCCGTAAACATTTGGATGTTCTCCTTTATGCCGCAGAAGGCCATGTTGGCGAGCGAGCCTACGGCCGTCCCCAGGTTGTCGGTGTTGGGACTGTGATGGGCCACGAGCACGTACAGATACTTGGAGAAGAGGTCGGTCATGGTGGTGGCGGCGGCAAAACCTGCAGAGGCGTCGACCTGCTCCCGTTCCAGGTACGACTTGACCACCTTGCCGGCGATGTGGCAAAACGCGGGGATATAGCAAAAGTGGAAAAGGTTTTCACAACTCTCCAGGTTGTCGTACAGTCTCTGCCCCTGCCCTTCGTTGTCGGACAACTTGACGACGTAGTCCTTGATCTCTTGCCGTGAAAACCCGGTGATTTCGGAAAAGCGGTCCACTTGGATTCCGCCCAGGCGCTCCAGAGCGATCGGCCGAGTCGTGAGCAGCATCGACGCGCCCATGAGCATCTTCCTCGTCACCAGTCCGGCAAAGATGGCCTCCTTGCTCGCCGTCTTGTCCGGGTCGCTGCACGCATTCGCCAAGTCCAGGGGCTTCTGGAACTCATCGAGCCCATCCAGGACCAGCAGTGCCTCCTCGGGGTTTTCGAACACCCGGTCAGCAACGTTGCCCAGGCTCTTGTGGTGCAATCGGAAGAGGTCCCGGAGCGACAGAGAGTCGGGGTATCCGTTGACCTCCCTGAACTGGATGTAGACGACGATGCGGAAGTCCGCGCGGAAGAGCCGCTCGCCAGACGCCAATTTGTTCACAATCATCTGGGCCATGGTGGTCTTGCCGATGCCCGGAACGCCGACCAAGACGACGAGTTTCGGCAGCTCTGTCCCCTCACCGACGGGATGGAAGAGCTTGCCGAAGGTGAACCCCTCCTCTCTGAGGGCCGCGATGATGTCCGCGTGCCGCTTGCCGCGCGATATGAACTCGTGCTGGCGTTTCTCGTCGGCGCGGTGGTAGGCCACGATGATGGGCTGCACGAATCTGTTGCTCAGCAGCACCACCTCGCCGGGCCGCGCGTTGTAGTCCAAAATGTTGGCGGTGTGGTGCCGGAGGTAGTCGAAGTACTCCCGCAGTGGCTTGTCTGAAAGGGAGGGGCGGATCAAATTGCGCTACTATTTGATGCCCCGTTAAGCCTCATCCACTGCTTGTCCAGCCATTAAAATGCGTAAAAGTTTCATTGTTATATGTCCATAGCCCCTTGACGTGAACCATTCCCACCTCCGCACCACATACACTCGATATTAAAACTATAAACTATTTTTTTTATTTACCAAGTAAGCAACAACTACGATTTCACGTTGTAAACTAGAAACACTAAACCATTTTTTTACATTGTTACCAGCTAAGGCCCACCACTGAGCTATACGGTTATTTTTCAGAAGTGACCTGGCCACAAATGATAGCTCAACGAAGTGGCTTATGACGTCGAAATTCACAGCAGCAACCAAATACTCTGAATGCACGCTTATTATAAATGTGAAGGGAAAACCGGGGAATGGGAAAACCAGGGGAGCCGGTGAAAAATCCACATGACCACGGGGAGAGAAACAGAGAGAGACGCAGACTCCAAATGAACCTTATAGCGGGACCCCGGGGTCCCGAATAAACAGAAGTAAAAATCGTAAATAATTTATTTACTTTTAGCGACTGCGTCCCACCACGCACATAAACGCTGCGAACCACCTGGCGTGGATCATTCTGTTGTCATATCGTCCTCACTGCACTTGGACGATATGACGCAGAAGAAATTTAACTTTGATTAGCGCATCGTGTAGAGCTCATCGAGAGGAATAGATTGCCGTATCGTTCGCCTTCAACAGATATAAAATGACGTCGCAACGCAGTTTATGCCAGAGCCGGGGACTTATGGGAACACGGGGTCCCGCCATAAGGTTCAAATGTACAACAGGCATCATCAGGGTCGTGATCAAACCCACGACCTCCTGAATACCAGGCGAGGTAGTTAACATCTCCTAGCCACTGCGGTGCCCCACAATACGCACCGTCGATGAGAGGCTCAGCAAACTCCACGTCCCGATCGACCGCGCCATGCGGCCTCGTCCGGTGACAATACACGGCGGCTCCCACCGCGGCGACGAGAGGGAACAGAATCCCCAAGACAATGGCCGCAACCGTTCCCCGTGCCAGGCCTGTCGCGGAACAGTGAGTCGACTCTCAATAAATCCGCGCACCGCACCATCACGCGCACGCCGTCAACGCACGCAGCATCATCACACACATAGCATCACACACACATCATCACACACGCAGCGTCATCACACACACAGCATCATACACACATCATCATCACACACGCAGCGTCATCACACACACAGCATCATACACACATACATCATCACACACACATCATCATCATCATCATCACACACACAGCATCATCACACACACAGCATCATCACACATACATCATCACACACACATCATCATCATCATCACACACACAGCATCATCACACACACAGCGTCATTGCACCCAAAAAAACATCACACACACAGCGTCATCGCTGCGTCATCACACATACAACATCATCACACACACAACATCATCACACACACAGCATCATCACACACACAGCGTCATCGCACCCAAAAAAAACATCACACACACAGCGTCATCGCTGCGTCATCACACATACAACATCAGCACACACACAACATCATCACACACACAGCGTCATCACACACACAGCATCATACACACATCATCATCACACACACAGCGTCATCACACACACACAGCGTCATCACACACACACATCATCATCACACACACAGCGTCATCACACACACACAGCGTCATCACACACGCAGCGTCATCACACACCCCGCCATCACACTGCAGCGTCATCACACGCAGCACCATCATCCCTGCGTCATCACACACACAACATCACACACACAGCATCACACACACATCATCATCACACACACAGCGTCATCACACACGCAGCATCATCACACGCAAAAAAAAAAACATCAAACACAGCACCATCATCGCTGCATCATCACACAGACATCATCACACACACAGCGTCATCGCACACACAGCGTCATCACACGCAAAAACAACATCAAACACAGCACCATCATCGCTGCATCATCACACACACATCATCACACACACATCATCACACACACAGCGTCATCACACACACAGCGTCATCACACACACAGCGTCATCACACACATCACCATCATCGCTGCGTCATCACACACACATCATCATCATCACACGCAGCGTAATCGCACACAGCATATTCACTACGCAGCAGCACCATCACACACACAGCGTCATCACACACATCACCATCATCGCTGCGTCATCACACACACATCATCATCATCACACACACAGCGTCATCGCACACAGCATATTCGCTACGCAGCAGCACCATCACAGCAGCGTCATCGCAACACAGTGTCGCCGGTGTGAGCTCCCTTCTGATTAATCGCACGTATAATTGTGCACTCTGTTAATTGCCACGGAGAGCCACGTGCGGTTGTTAATAGTATACTAGCATATTTTTCGCCCGTCCAAAGACGGGTGTATTTCAGTAAATCTGAAACTTGCAAGCGACAAGCAGTAAAAAATGTGTCACGTTTTTCAAAGGACAAAATAATTCACTTCTTTAGCCCACCGGTGTGCTGAAGAGAGAATCAACAGCATTTTAAAATTTGAGTACTCGAAAGGCTGTTGATTCTCTCTACAGCACACCGGTGGGCTAAAGAAGTGAATTATTTTGTCCTTTGAAAAACGTGACACATTTTTTACTGTTTGGCCGTGTCGGGTGGTGGAGGGTTACGATAGATTTATAAATAACACGATCTGACCCAAAAACCTATATTATGAATAATATTGGTCGCGAAAGCCTACGTGTTAAAGCGACAAGCAGACCGCGACGTGACATTCATTGCATCCATTCGTGTGCAATTTGTAAGGCCGCGGTGACGCAGACTTTTTTCATGTAGAGGTTATAATCCCTTGATCATCAGGACGTTCTTTTTACTTTGATGTCTCAATAGCGTGACGGAGATCGCGTGACGTGAGGGTTCTGTCTTTGTAGTGAGGGGGTAGGAGGCTCCCCCATGTGGAGTGACGTCACCCTCTCATGGTTTTAACCAATCTACTTGACTTTACCGAAAGACCCAAAGAATTTGATATGACTTGTATGTAAATCGACTGACCAAGAACTTGGCAATGTGAATTGACTGTTGATCGAGTTATCGGTGGTAATGAAGATGTGCACAAGTAAGACTGACGTTGAAGTTGATTTCAGTATATAAAATTAACCCGTAAAAACAAAGTTTTTCACTATAAATCCTTTATATGCGTGGCATCGGTTTTATTTTATTATTAATTTCTGTTTTTCTTGAGTAAGAGTTTCATTTTTATCACATTGGTATTTTAAATTAAATATGAAAAAAATTCCTAAAAAGTGAAAAAAAATTTAAAAAAAATTCACGAAAATAAATTGTCACGCACAACGAGTCTGTGTGCAAAATGTCAGCTCGATTGGATCACGGGAAGTGGGTTAAAAAACGACCGAAAGATTTTCACGGTCGTAAGCGCGCAAGCAAGTGAACTTAATATAAAGGATTTAAAATTAACTCATACTGAGTCTAGAATATTAACACTGGTGCTCAATCCCGTCAACAGAGAGGTTGAGCTGCGGTGTTGTGACGTGGAGGGTGTGTATGATCATTTTTGCAAGTATAAGATGTTCATTTTTTTGTATTTTGCTTGTTTGCAATTTTGTGCGGGTAATCTAATAGCAATAAGATGGCGTCCGGCTCGTTATTTAATTATAAACTACGAGCATTAATATCTTGTTTATTTTGATAAATCCAACTCGGATCAATAGACATAACGGAGTTAGAAGATGATGAAAGTGTTTCGGTGATGAATATAGACGTTTTTTTGTAATAGTTGATAGCATTTTGTGTTGTTGCGTCGTGTTGCGCTGTTCATTGAGAAGGCACAAAATGGCTGACTTAGAGCTTGATGTTTACGTTGAGCGAATGGGATGAGCAGATTAGGTGCTTTTGGAGGTTACTTTATGTAAGACATTTTTATTTTATGTTTATTTCTGTAATTTACATATTGTGAATTTCATTTGATATGAAAATAAATATATATTAATTATATAATTACGTACAGTTTCGTTTAAGTATTATCAGGAACTATGACGTTCAGTAGATATTACAGATGTTTTAGGAAGATGTTTGAATGTTAAGGGACCGTCCATAAATGACGTCACGCGATTTTGAAAAATTTTTGACCCCCCCCCCCCCCTCGTCACACGGCGTCACAAAAAAGTCAGACCCCCCCTCAAATATGACGTCACAAAGCTCTGCCCCCCTCAAAAAAAAAACATGCTTCGAATCGCTTTAAACTATTGCCATTGTAGTGCGTATTTAATGTGGCGCTGCACTCTGATGTTGTAAGAGAAAACATTTATTAAAAAGTATATTTAATTAGGTAAAAAGTGTTGTCTATATTTAAAGTTGCGCATTTTGATGTGACGTCACATTTCTCAAACCCCCCGCCCCTCGTCACACATCGTCACAAATGTCTGACCGCCCGCCCCCCCCCCCCCCCCCAGGTGCATGACGTCATTTATGGACGGCCCCTTAGCCGACCTGTCCCCCTCGTTAGGATTGACTACGGTAGGAGAGGGACAGGGCGGACCGGCTACAACAGCATCGTCACACACCGCATCATCATCGCACAAAGTATGCCATCACACACAGCACCATCACAGTGGCTATGGGCACTCACCTGAAGTATTCTTTGTTTTTTTCGGTAAAGTCACGTATAAAGATAAAATAATAAATTAAATAATAGCATACGACGTTTCGATTGCAACACAAGCAATCGTCATCAGGTATAGTGAAACAGCGACATAAAATCTAACCAGAAAACTATAGACAGACATATAAGCAGACAGATATCACCAAGATACATAGATCGAGCAACACAGGTACAGAGAGGGATGATCGTCTCTGTGGGGTGGCCTTAAATAGACAGAGGGGGGCGGAGGCAGAGAGAGGGAGGGGGTTAGAGAAAAAATGTACATGTCAATGAGTACGAAAGCTTAGAGGGAGAAAGAACACACTAAATTAAATAACCTAGCAAAGTATCGAAATGTTATGTAAAACGACACAGAGAGTCGGTCAACACACAATTAACGCATAGCCTGGTCGATTACGTATTTCAAAGATTGCTAAGTTAGAAAGAATGTAAGTGTGAAAATTCCAAAGAAAGACAAAAAATAAAAAAACAAGAGGAACGGAGACACACAGACAGAGCAGAACCTAAGAAAGACAAAAAACGAGTGTAGACAGAAAAAATTACACTAAATATACAGGCAGAGAGAGAACAAAAAAACAAAAAACCCAGAGAGAGAGAGAAAAAGGTAAACTTGGAACTTCCCCGTAGAAGTGGAAATTAAGATTGAACTCACCTGAAGGTTCACAGTGCTGAGAAGGTGCAGGTCGCTGGCTGCCCTCCTTACAATGGCACGCAGTGTCCCGCGTCGCATTGCAAGGCTCGGAAACCTCGTCTGCAAGGACAGAGCCACTTGACGGTTCACACAGCGGTGCCAGCGATCTGCGTGTGTTTGCGTTGTGTGTGTGTGCGGGGTCTTGGCTACATGCGGAGCGAAAGAAGTTCAACATACAAGGATACATGGCCACACCACCCCTTCTTGTGCTATGGCGGCCTTCATCGCTGCTACTCGCTGACAGAACTTGCCCCAACAGCCTGTTGGAGGCTATACGGCGGATGTTTGTAGGTTTTTAAGAGTGGGTTTTTTTCCACAGGCATAACCTGTTAGGGATCCCACCGTGGTGTGTAACGCCTTCCGGTTTGGTGAAATCTCCCAGAATGAGGTGGCAAGCCAAAACGGATGGAGCAAGTGTCTTTAAAATAAGTAATATTTTTTTAAACTGTTTTTAAAACACGCTTTTATGAAATGTACTAGCAATGGAAGAGCTTCACAACTCCAGGAAGTGGCCCCGAAGCTTGCCATAACGTAAGGGACCGTGGCCAATTACAGCCAACGTGAGTTGAGCGTGGACAATTAGACCCAAGCCAAAACATAACATCGAAAAAAGAATGTATAAAAATTTCTATTTTTTTCTTTTTTTATGATAGAATACAGTATTGTCGTCAATATGACATACGTATACCAAGTTTGCAGTCGATACCACATTGGCAAGTGGGTTTAAACTGAGTTACAAGATTTGAGGCTACAACAACGACAACAGACAGAGTGAGTTAAATTAAAGCGTGTAATAAATCGTTTGCGACATCAGAAGACAGGAGGTTCCACGACGTGGCGAAAGTCCATCTCCCGGACAACGATCCCTCGGTTCGAGCAAGACTAGAAGCGATGGCAGAGGTGGTGGGGGCCTGTTGGGACTCACGGAAGCCGCACTCGCTGCACTTGCGGCAATGCGACGCGCGATTGGGAACGTCCATGAAGTGGCCGACGTGACAGAGGGTGCACAGCGGGAACTGCCCCTCGACTCGGCAGTCCCCGACCTTGAATTCGCCTGCGAATTGCAGATAAAGGAGCGGCGTCAAAAGTCGAGAGCCATTTTTTTTATCCTTTATATTAAGTTCACTTGCTTGCGCGCTTACGACCGTGCAAATCTTTCGGTCGTTTTTTAACCCACTTCCCGTGATCCAATCGAGCTGACATTTTGCACACAGACTCGTTGTGCGTGACAATTTATTTTCGTGAAAAAAAATTTCCATAGCTTTACACTTTTTAGAATTTTTTTTTATTTAATTACCAATTGCTTAATGGTGGCAGGCAATCATCTGACCCATAGGTGGCAGCCATCTCAAGCCAGAGGACGAGAGGACTCTAGCCGCCACGCATATAAAGGATTTATAGTGAAAAACTTTGTTTTTTCGGGTTAATTATTTTTCCTTCTAACCCGTAGCAGGGGGCTTTCGCGACCAAAATTATCTTGGGTTAAATAGAGTAAATATAAATGTGTGTCGTTAAACCCGCCACCACCCGACACAGCCAATTAGTCAGGTCTGTCACGTAAACAACGTGGCAATTAGTTACTAGTTCAGCACACCGGGAGTGTGTTGGAGAGTAAACCCACAACAACAATTCGAGTACCGTGACGACATTTCGCCGGTAACTACAATCGTCCTCATCAGGAGACAGTTGTGGAGAAAGTCTCCTGTTTCGGTCTTCAATAGCCGGGGTGTAAATGTGACGTCGTTACTTGTGAGCTAAATCAAGGTGCGAAGGCCACAGGGGTGGGGGGGGTTTATTGTATTCTTATACATTATAATGGATATATATATTATTGGTTGGGTTATTTATTCACAGTTAATCAACATACACTATGGATGTACATGAGTGCGACCTTATGACAATGTATTCGTTCGGCAAACTGGAAGCCAGTGCAGCTCGGGCGAGCACCGGACGCACACGGTCGGACCTTGCAGTACCCCGTCACGACCCGTGGCCAGAGACGCATGTGTCTGATCAGGGGCGGTTTCTTCATTAGGGCGATTGGGCGACGCACCACCAATCTCATTCAACCACAGAGTCACGCTAGCCGTCACTGTGCCTCTGGATATAGTCCAATCAGCGTCATGTCACGTTCTGTGGAGTACCGCCTCTTTTTGGGCGATTTACCTCTAGCTGAGAATCGCCCCGAGTGGCCCCATAGACTTACATTCAAAGATGTTCTTTTTCGAACGGGAGGGGCGCTGCAATGCATTCTCTATGGCTTCCGGGAGGGCTCGCCCTAACGTGCTTACGTCATCATACGTAAGCACATTTCATCCAACAAAATTATTTGTCGCCACCTAGTAGAATCTTTAATAAAAGAAACATGAGTGGATTGTATTAATAGTGAGTATAGAAACAAACAAGGAGATGTATTGTAAGAGTCACTTTATTTTTCATTAATATTAAAGAAGTGAAGTTGCTTTTACATGCTTAAGCTGTTAATTTATCCTTTGCATGGGTGGACCTTATCCTTATCAATCATCCAGACATTTGCCCCCTCCCCCCTGAGAGATTTTTCAGGAGCCGCCACTGTGTCTGATGATCCGTTTAGTTTACCTGGAGGGCACATTTGACAGCAAAATCCGGAGCTGGCTCTGTACATGCCCAGAGGGCACACGCCGTCCTGGGCCGCCCTCGACGAGACGGCGACCTGCACCGGGAATGCACGATAGTCAAATCACCTCATGATGATTTATGATGATGATGATGATGCTGATGATGATTATTTATAATGATGATGATGATGCTGATGATTATTTATAGTGATGATGATGGTGATGATCATGATGATTTATGATGATGATGATGATGCTGATGATGATTTATAATGATGCTGCTCATGATGATTCATAATGATGCTGATGATGATTTATAATGATGATGATGATGCTCATGATTATTTATAATGATGATGATGCTGCTCATGATGATTCATGATTATAATGATGATGATGCTGCTCATGATGATTTATAATGATGATGATGATGCTGATGATGATTATTAATGATGATGCTGCTCATGATGATCCATGATGATGATGATGCTCATGATGATTATTTATAATGATGATGCTGCTGCTCATGATGATTCATGATGATGCTGATGATGATTTCTAATGATGATGATGATGATGCTGCTGCTGCTCATGATGATAAGTTCAAATGCATCATTAGACCTCCTTTGCCAGTACCAAAATATAATAATAGGGTGTTTCCCCTTTTTTCTGGCAACAAAACTGAAACCTTTTTACGAGGAATCATGTGTGCATTAACCAAAAATGCAAAGAAAAAACACACTCTGATAATATGCATTGTCATTGAAACTGATTGGTCCACACCAGAGACGGCTTTCTTTTGAGCCTCGTCTCATTTTCACCACAAGTATTGTGGTTAATGCACACATGATTCCTTGTAAAAAGGTTTCAGTTTTGTTGCCAGACCAAAAGGGGAAAACCCCTATTATTATAAGTTCAAATGCATGTACAGTTATTCCTTCCTAAGTGCTTCCTTTTTCCCTCCCTCCTGCCTCCCTTCTCCCCTTCCCCCCCTCCACTCCCTTAATCCTTTCCCGTTCCGATGACGTACATGTACGTATATGTACGTCATCTAAAAAGCCTAAATAAAATAGCTTTATCGGTACCGAGGCTTACCATCAGCGCCACACGGAAGGGTGTGCGGCACAGTTTGGTGCCGGCTATCGTAGAGTTGCGGCGGTCGTGGCGCTGCGGTTCTCAAAAGCAACGGCGCTGCTGCTACTTTACGCCTCTCTCAATAAAACTCACCCAGCCAGGATTTGTGGACGCGCGCGCTCGCACTCACCACAACAATGAGAACGGCGAAGCATGGAAGTCGGAACGTCATCCTCAAAAAGCCGCTTCGAATCCCTGGCAGAGCCACACCTGCATACACAAAGCGAGGTTAGGGGCCGTCCATAAATGACGTCATAAACTGTGGGGGGGGGGGGGCGGTCAGACATTTGTGACGATGTGTGACGAGGGGGTAGAGGGTTTGAAAAATGTGACGTCACATCAAAATGCACAACTTTACATAAATATAGACAACACGTTCAACTTAATTAAATTGACTTTTTGATCAATGTTTTCTCCTACAACATCAGAGTGCAGCGCCACATTAAATACGCACTACAATGACAATAGTTTAAAGCGATGTGAAGCATGTTTTATTTTGGGGGGGGGGGCGGGGCAGAGCTTTGTGACGTCATATTTGAGGGGGGGGGGTCTGACTTTTTGTGACGTCGTGTGACTATGGGGGGCGGGTCAAAAAATCGTCTAAAATCGCGTGACGTCATTTATGGACGGCCCCTAACACGATTTTTGTTCCTGGGTAGTAAGTGTCATTTTCAAATTGCTTATGCCTCCAAAGTAAAGATAATGTCTATTATTATTACCCACAAACTTTGCTTTTGTGACCAGGAAAGAATCATACAAATGCACACCACGTTTTCTCATTGAAAACAGGTAGATTTTAACTTAAAACTTTCGTGACTGCAGGATGACGATTGATGGTGTTGCGATCGAAACGTCGTGACATTTTAACTATTTTTGATTCACTTTATTTTTATTATTTTATTGTTATTATTTTTCCTATCCACCTGACTTTACCGAAAGAACCATAGAATATGAAATAGGTACATTTCTAAATATCACTGTCCTGGTCACAAAAGCAAAGTTTGTGGGGGAATAATAACAGCCATTTTCTGTACTTTCGAGGCATAAGCAATTAGAAAATAACACTTACTACTCAGGAACAAAAAAACATTTCTCTTGGTTACACAGTATATAATACAGGGTAGGAACAACAATTCCACACTGCCCACCAGGGATTATTTGTCTGTCTGTCGTGCATAGCCACGCCCTCGATTTGTATTTTTCATAAAGCGCTTCCGGCGGGCTCAGCACCACGTGACGCGCCACCCCACGCAGCTTGCGCCACGTGACACGGATCGCACGAATGCGCTGTCCAACCAAGTTCCTACCTTTTCGATTTAAAGCTTTCGTGACTGCAGGGATTCATCTTCTTGGTTCTTTTGGTAAAGTCACGCAGAAGGGAAGTAATAAAACAATAAAAATAAAACATAATAAAATAAAATTATTTTATTTTATTATTATATAAAATTAAAACATAATAAAATAATTTTATTTTATTATGTTTTATTTTTATTGTTTTATTACTTCCCTTCTGCGTGACTTTACCGAAAGAACCAAGAAGACAAGTTCCTACCTGCTCACTCCGAAGGAACGTGTTTATCGTGCACCTTGTGCCGCAGAATGGCCCAACAGTGGGTAACGTTCTTGGGGGCAATCTTGATTCGAAGCTTTCGTGACTGCACGAATCCACACTCTGTGGTTCTTTCGGTAAAGTTACGTAGGTAGGAAAATAAACAGGGGCGGTTTCTTGATTAGGGCGATTGGGCGACGCACAACCACAGAGTCGCGCTAGCCGTTACTGTGCCTCTGGATATAGTCCAATCAGCGTCATGTCACGTTCTGTGGAGTACCGCCTCTTTTTGGGCGATTTCACTCCGGCTGAGAATCGCCCAGTGTTCCCATAGACTTACATTCAAAGATGTTTTTTTTCGAACGGCGGGCGCTCCAATGCATTCTCTATGGCTTCCGGGAGGGCTCGCCCTAACGTGCTTACGTCATCATACGTAAGGACGTTTCAGTCAACAATATTATTTGTCGCCACCTAGTGGAATCTTTAATAAAGGAAACTGATTGGATTGTAATAATAGTGAGTATAGAAACAAACAAGATGTATTGTAATAGTCACTTTATTTTTCATTAATATTAAAGAAGTGAAGTTGCCTTTACATGCTTAAGCTGTTAATTTATCCATTGCATGGGTGGACCTTATCCTTATCAATCATCCAGACATTTGCCCCCCCTGAGAGATTTTGCAGGAGCCGCCACTGAAAATAAATATATTGTTTATTTGATTTGAAGCTTTCGTAACTGCAGGAATCCATAGTCTGTGGTTCTTTCGGTAAATTCAGGATAACTGCTACGTCAGCAGTTATCCTGCTGTGTTTGTTTCACCTGATGACGGTTGCTTGTGTTGCGATCGAAACGTCATGATCTATTCTTTTTCTATCTACGTTACTCCCGAAATTTTGCCTTAAAACTTTCGCGACAGCAGGAATTCATATTCTTTGGATTCTTTCGGTGAAGTCAAGGGGATAGAAAATAAAAAAATAAAATTAATAAAAACCACGAATAAAAATACATAATAACAAATAAATTAATAAAAAACCAAAAACTCACGACGTTTCGATTGCAGCACAAGTGGTCGTCACTGATCACTTGGAGCTACGGTGCCACTTTTAAATCATCATCTAGAATCCAGATTGACGAAACTCATTTCTTTAGAACTGCTTGTCGCTGCGTCTAGTTCGTTGTCCTTCCCATGACGCCTCCGATTGGCTCGGTCGAACCCACGCACGGTGCGAAAGTTCCACGTGCGGGGAACGTTTTCCTTTGGTCGGAAGTCTTTCCGACGTTTCGATCGCAACACAAGCGGTCGCCATCGACCGCTTGTGTTGCGATCGAAACGTCGTTTTAGTTATTTTATGTAAAAAACTTTTTCCTATCTACGTGGCTTTACCGAAAGAACCAAAGAACATGAACCTTTATCCCTATTGGTCCGAGGTGCGCGGTGAGTCGCAAGGGCACGGCGGAAAGACTTCCGACCCAAGGAAAACGTTTTATAGACCTGGAACTTCTTTCGCACCGTGCGTGGGTTCAACCGAGCCAATCAGAGGTGCCGTGGGAAGGACAACGAACTAAATGCAGCGACAAGCAGTTCTAAAGAAATGAGATTCGTCAATCTAGATGATGATGATGGCGACTTAAAGGTGGCACCGTAGCTCCCAGTGGATTCCCAACATCGGCAGAACGTTCCAGACGGCCGCAGAAGCAGCACATTCTGAACGCGCACTGATGCGGTTGACTATCGTCGTTGGATGGCGTATATTAGTGTAGTGTATAATGTAGTGTATATTAGTGGTGTGTAGTGTATAGTGGTGTGTAGTGTATAGTATTGTAGTGTATAGTGTAGTATATAGTAGTGGTGCGTAGTGTATATTAGTGGTGTGTAGTGTATAGTGGTGTATGTATAGTGTTGTAGTGTATAGTGTAGTATATATTCGTAGTGTATAGTGGTGTATGTATAGTATTGTAGTGTATAGTGTAGTATATATTCGTGGTGTGTAGTGTATAGTGTAGTGTATAGTGGTGTGTAGTGTATAGTGGTGTGTAGTGTAGTGTATAGTATTGTAGTGTATAGTGAAGAGTATATTAGTGGTGTGTAGTGTATAGTGGTGTGTGTATAGTATTGTAGTGTATAGTGTAATGTATATTAGTGGTGTGTAGTGTATAGAGGTGTGTAGTGTATAGTGGTGTAGTGTATAGTGTTGTCGTGTATAGTGTAGTGTATATTAGTGTTATGTAGTATATAGTATTGTAATGTATAGTGTAGTGTATATTAGTGTTGTGTAGGATATAGTATTGTAGTGTATAGTGTATATTAGTGGTGTGTAGTGTATAGTATTGTAGTGTATAGTGTAGTGTATATTAGTGGTGTGTAGTGTATTGTGTGTGTATAGTATTGTAGTGTATAGTGTAGTTTATGTTAGTGGTTTGCAGTGTATAGGGGTGTGTAGTGTATATTAGTGGTGTGTAGTGTATAGTGGTGTGTGTATAGTATTGTAGTGTATAGTGTAGTGTATATTAGTGGTGTGCAGTGTTTAGTGGTGTCTCGTGTTTAGTATTTTAATGTATATAGGATCGCGCGATGCGATGACCGTCTGTTAGATGGCTAGCCAAATGTGTAGTGTATAGTGTAATGTATAGTTGTGGTGTGCAGTGTATAGTGTAGTGTATAGTAGTGGTGTGTAGTGTATAGTAGTGGTGTATAGTGTATAGTGGTGTGTAGTGTATAGTGTAGTGTGTAGTCGTGGTGTGCAGTGTATAGTGTAGTTTATTTTAGTAGTGTGTAGTGTATAGTAGTGGTGTGTAGTGTATAGTAGTGGTGTGTAGTGTATAGTGTAGTGTATAGTAGTGGTGTGTAGTGTATAGTGTAGTGTGTAGGGTATAGTAGTGGTGTGTAGTGTATAGTGTAGTGTATAGTAGTGGTGTGTAGTGTATAGTAGTGGTGTGTAGTGTATAGTGTAGTTTATAGTAGTGGTGTGTAGTGTATAGTAGTGGTGTGTAGTGTATAGTGTAGTGTATGTAGGATCTGAAAGCGCGCGGCCCGGTGACCGTCTTTGTCGGATGGCCGGCCAAAATCCTCCCGGCGATGGTTTACGGTGACTTTGGCGAAACGAATGAGGCTAAACAACTTTGACCACTGACACAAACGTAAAACGGGGGGGGGGGGGGGGCGAGGTTTGTCTTTACCTCTGCTGAAGTCGAACGTCGGACGTCCTTCGCGTAGCCACAGTGCCACAGTCGTACGGGGGTAACGCGGGGGGGAAGGATGCTGTTCGCATAGCAAAGTGTTTGTAGGAACCTGTATCATCCCAGCGGCCCCGATATGCGTATTTGTGGTGGACACGGAAGGTGAACCGCAGGTATTGTGTTTTGTTCCGCGTGCCATGAAATCACGCGCACATTCACTCGAACAAACCTGACTCTCAAGCGTTCACCCACCCAACCACCCACCAAACCACCCAACCACCCACCAAACCACCAAACCACCCAACCACCCCACCCAACCACACCCAACCACCCAACTACCCACCCGCCAAACCACCCACCCCACCACCCATTTAACCGCCCAACCACCCACCCAACCACCAATTCACCCTCTCGACAATAACCCACGACTTAGGATGGGGCCTTCAATCAGCAGTGGATTGAACATGTCTGATGATGTAATTCATTGTGGTGGCACGGTGGGGCGGGGGGGTGCTAACTACCTCGCCTGGTATACAGGAGGCCGTGGCTTCAATACCGACCCCTGCTGCTGTATATTTGGAGTCTGCGTCTCTCTTTCCCATCATCATCACCACGGTGGCGAGGAGATGTTAACTACCTCGCCTGGTATACAGAAGGTGGTGGGTTCGATCCTGACCCCTGCTACTGTATATTTGGAGTCTGCGTCTCTCTCTCTCTCTCCCATCATCATCACCACGGTGGCTAGGAGATGTTAACTACCTCGCCTGGTATACAGGAGGTCGTTGGTTCGATCGAGGCCTGCTGCTGTATATTTGGAGTCTGCGTCTCTATCTCTATCATCATCATCACCACGGTGGCTATGAGATGTTAACTACCTCGTCTGGTGTACAGGATGCGTGGGTTCAATACCGACCCCTGCTGCTGTATATTTGGAGTCTGCGTCTCTCTCTCTCATCATCATCACCACGGTGGCTAGGAGATGTTAACTACCTCGCCTGGTATACAGGAGGTCGTGGGTTCGATCGAAGCCTGCTGCTGTATATTTGGAGTTTGCGGTGTTTTTCCCCATAGTCGCGTGGACTTTTCTCAGGATCCGCCAGGTTCCCCCTCCATCTAGAATCATTCGTTTCGAGAATTTGCTGTATAAATGTCCACGTGATGAGGGGCCGTCCATAAATAACGTCACGAACCTAGTGGGGGGGGGGGGGGGGGGGGTTGGTCAGACATTACACTACACTATACACTACTACACTATACACTACTATACACTACACTATACACTACTATACTATACACTACACTATACACTACTACACTATACACTACACTATACACTACTATACTATACACTACACTATACACTACTACACTATACACTACACTATACACTACTACACTATACACTACACTATACACTACTATACACTACACTACTATACACTACTACACTATACACTATTCTACACTACACTATACACTACTATACACTACTACACTATACACTACTATACACTACACTATACACTACTACACTATACACTACTATAAACTACACTATACACTACTACACTATACACTACTATACACTACTACACTATACACTACACTATACACTACTACACTATACAATACACTACACTACTATACACTACTACACTATACACTACACTATACACTACTACACTATACACTACTATACACTACACTAGACACTACACTATACACTACACTATACACTACTACACTATACACTACTATACACTACACAATACACTACTACACTATACACCACTATACACTACTACACTATACACTACAATACACTACACTACTATACACTACTACACTATACACTACAATACACTACACTACTATACACTACTACACTATACACTACACTATACACTACTACACTATACACTACACTATACACTACACTATACACTACACTATACACTACTATACACTACACTATACACTACTACACTATACACTACAATACACTACACTACTATACACTACTACACTATACACCAGAGGTGGGACAAAGTCATTGTTATGCAAGTCCAAGTCGAGTCTGAAGTCATAAAATTCATGACTCGAGTCTGACTCGAGTCCAAGTCACATGACTCGAGTCCAAACCTCAGAGGTGGGACAAAGTCATTGTTATGCAAGTCCAAGTCGAGTCTGAAGTCATAAAATTCATGACTCGAGTCTGACTCGAGTCCAAGTCACATGACTCGAGTCCAAACCTCAGAGGTGGGACAAAGTCATTGTTATGCAAGTCCAAGTCGAGTCTGAAGTCATCAAATTCATGACTCGAGTCTGACTCGAGTCCAAGTCACATGACTCGAGTCCACACCTCTGCTATACACTACACTATACACTACTACACTATACACTACTATACACTACACTAGACACTACACTATACACTACACTATACACTACTACACTATACACTACTATACACTACACAATACACTACTACACTATACACCACTATACACTACTACACTATACACTACAATACACTACACTACTATACACTGCTACACTATACACTATTCTACACTACACTATACACTACTATACACTACTACACTATACACTACTATACACTACACTATACACTACTACACTATACACTACTATAAACTACACTATACACTACTACACTATACACTACTATACACTACTACACTATACACTACACTATACACTACTACACTATACAATACACTACACTACTATACACTACTACACTATACACTACACTATACACTACTACACTATACACTACTATACACTACACTAGACACTACACTATACACTACACTATACACTACTACACTATACACTACTATACACTACACAATACACTACTACACTATACACCACTATACACTACTACACTATACACTACAATACACTACACTACTATACACTACTACACTATACACTACAATACACTACACTACTATACACTACTACACTATACACTACACTATACACTACTACACTATACACTACACTATACACTACACTATACACTACACTATACACTACTATACACTACACTATACACTACACTATACACTACTACACTATACACTACAATACACTACACTACTATACACTACTACACTATACACCAGAGGTGGGACAAAGTCATTGTTATGCAAGTCCAAGTCGAGTCTGAAGTCATAAAATTCATGACTCGAGTCTGACTCGAGTCCAAGTCACATGACTCGAGTCCAAACCTCAGAGGTGGGACAAAGTCATTGTTATGCAAGTCCAAGTCGAGTCTGAAGTCATAAAATTCATGACTCGAGTCTGGCTCGAGTCCAAGTCACATGACTCGAGTCCAAACCTCAGAGGTGGGACAAAGTCATTGTTATGCAAGTCCAAGTCGAGTCTGAAGTCATCAAATTCATGACTCGAGTCTGACTCGAGTCCAAGTCACATGACTCGAGTCCACACCTCTGCTATACACTACACTATACACTACTACACTATACACTACTATACACTACACTAGACACTACACTATACACTACACTATACACTACTACACTATACACTACTATACACTACACAATACACTACTACACTATACACCACTATACACTACTACACTATACACTACAATACACTACACTACTATACACTGCTACACTATACACTACACTATACACTACTACACTATACACTACACTACTACACTACACTATACACTACTATATACCTGTCAACCCCTTATCAGTGCCCTACCTTATCACAGACCAATTCAGACCGTATTGGTCACCCCGTGCCCCTTATACATGGCAACGTTGATCCTACAAAGTCTTCATCATCACAAGGGAGAAACACAAAAAAATAAACTTTTTTTATTATTTAAATAATGTGCCTGTATTGTATAACATCCCTGGAACGACAAAATTCCGGTGGCTCGTGACGTCACGGCCGAACCGCCGACGTGGATTTTTGACGTCATCGCTCGTGGTGTGGCGATGACGTCATGTCACCCGGGAGGGGAGGAGGGGCCAAGGGTTTGCCGATGCCGGGTTGAGAGAGACCGGCGGGCTGACCACGGCGGTGGTGGTGGAGGCGGTGGTGGTGGACAATCAGTCTCCACACGGTAAGAGGTGATGACGGTGGTGGTGGATGCGGTAGTACTGGTGGATGTGGTGGTGGACGTGGTGGTGGTGGACGTGGTGGTGGACGTGGTGGTGGCAGTGGTGGTGGTAGTGGACGTGGTGGTGGTGGTGGACAATCAGTCTCCACACGGTGAGAGGTGATGGTGGTGGAGGCGGTGGTGGTGGTGGACAATCAGTCTCTACACGGTGATAGGTGATGACGGTGGTGGTGGTGGAGGCGGTGGTGGACAATCAGTCTCCACACGGTGAGAGGCAGAGGTGGGACAAAGTCATTGTTATGCAAGTCCAAGTCGAGTCTCAAGTCATCAAATTCATGACTCGAGTCTGACTCGAGTCCAAGTCACATGACTCGAGTCCACACCTCTGGTGAGAGGTGATGACGGTGGTGGACGTGGTGGTGGTGGACGTGGTGGTTGTGATAGCGGTGGTGGTAGTGGACGTGGTGGTGGTGACAGTAGTGGTGGTGATGACGATGGTGGACGTGGTGGTGGTGGACGTGGTGGTTGTGATAGCGGTGGTGGTAGTGGACGTGGTGGTGGTGACAGTAGTGGTGGTGGTGGACGTGGTAGTGGTGGTGGTGGACATGGTGGTAGTGGTGGTGGCGGTGGACGTGGTGGTGGTGGTGGTGGCAGTGGTGGGGGTCTGACTTGGTTTGTAATAAGGCAGGCACTGATTGACAGGTATGTAGTAGTGTGTAGTGTAGTGTGTAGTGTATAGTAGTGTATAGTGTTGTGTATAGTGTTGTATACAGTGTAGTGTGTAGTGTAGTGTATAGTGGAGTGTGTAGTGTATAGTGTAGTGTAGAGTGGCTTTGTAAATGTTGAATGTTTTCGCTGAAGCCCTAGAAGATAAATGGCAATGACAGGACGGCCTTGCAGGGTCTTGTTCGTGGACCCGATGCGGCAGAAATATCTCTGTATATCCAACTGGCTGCCGTATCTATTTGACATGACTGCACCCCCCATATTGCTCGAGGAGCAGTCCTCCGTGCCGTTCTGCTCTGATGGGCTGTAACAGATGTGTAATGCGAACAAGGATTGAGGGGGGGGCGGAGTCTGGGTCACGTGAGGAGAGGGAGGAGTTAGGGTCACGTGGGGGAGAGGATTTAGGGAGAGAACTGGAAGGGGAACGGGGAGTTGAGACGGAGTGAAACGGGAGGAGGCCACGCTGGGCAGTACGGGGAGAGTGGCGCGGTCACCACGCGGTGGGAGACGTCGACACCGTCAGCCATCGGTGTCAGGACGCAGAGGGCTAGCGAGCGGTGGAAGGCTAGCTGCAGAGCGGAGCAGCAGTGAAGCTGCAGACGGAGCAGCGGTGAGGCTGCAGAACGAGCAGCAGAGTGGCTGTGGAGTGATCGTCGGTAGAGACGCGGGCCTGAGCGAGGACGCCGTGTGAACGAGATTCTACGAACCCAAATAAAGGACAACGGAGATCAACATTGAGAAAGAGTCCTTTATTACAGATGCAACACAACAGCGGCATTAGGTATATAAACACGGCGAGACCTTCAATTTAAAGCACTTCACACGGATATGTTCCTCGTATCTGCATGCATAATAGTGGTTCTGGGGTGAGTCGAATTAAACAAACCTTCGCTTCATTCCAGGAACATGCTGACTTTATCATTGTAGCTGCCATTGATAGCCCACAGGCAGAAGTCGTCACTTCGTGAAATGTGGGGGATCACCCGGCATCCTTCAGAGGCACTCATGAATTCGTAGCACAGATGGGGAGTTGAAAAACGCAAAAGGCTGATATCATGCACTACGATTTTCTCAGAAATTTCCTATATATTTCGAAAAGGAATTAACATTTGTGGCAAGCATTACATACACAGTGTAACTAATAGTATCTGCAACTACATTATCCACACGTATTGGTATCTGCAGGTTCCAAATTATACACTGGTATACAGCCAAAATGCTTCCGAAATAAATGTTGTCCAACGTTACTAATTCTGGGTCACTGAGAATGAAAATGATGATTAAAATTGATTGGGTCTAGTTTTCAAGATATGCTACTGGGTCAGTATATACGACCCTTGACTTGGGAATGGCGGAGGATAAGTGAGTTCTAAAGGGAAGGGATCTAAATTTAAACCAGAAATGACTAAAATTAATTTTGACTGGATCTATGGATAAATCTATGGCTGGGTTTGGACAGTACTTGCTTTTTCAGCAAAACAATGAATGGTGCAATCTGAACCTGCTATTGTATCATGCATGATATGAATTGCATCATGTTATTCGTAGAAGTCATGGATGATGCAATCATAACTAGGCTTACATCCCTCTGCTGAACAAATTGCCCGAAATCAGCTCTAGAAATCATACAGTGTCGTGCTCTCTTATTTGTCAGTGTTTGGTTTTGCCAAAGGGACACATTTCTGTTTAGCCAAAGTGACCAGAGATGCCTGGTACTTGTGTGAATAAAGCAGATAACTTCTGATATTTTTGTGGTGAAGTGACTTTTGCATCACAAAAGCGCAGTATAACCACTATGGTTAAGAAAGCTTATCACCTTTAAATTTCGATTTAAAGCTTTCGTGACTGCAGGGATTCATCTTCTTGGTTCTTTCGGTAAAGTCACGTAGAAGGGAAGTAATAAAATAATAAAAATAAAACATAAAATAATTCTCACGACGTTTCGGCCACAATGCAAGCAGCCGTCCTCGGATGCATTGTCTCCGGATCTGAGTACGTGTGCAAAATTTGGAATTGATTGGACAACAGGAAGTAGACTAACTTTTGATTACAAGATTTGACCACGACAAACATAAGTGAAGTTAAATAAAACCGTTGAAAAAAACAAAACCCGCTTAGGCTTTCCCGCTACCCATAGGACACCCTCAACTTTTATAGGGGGTGTAAAATTATTAAGTTAGTCGTCGTCGCCCCCCCCCCCCAACTGGTTCTTCCTATAACGCAAACACCTCTGTGCTGGTCGCTGGCAGGCCGTGTGATGTCCTCTTGTGCTATGGTCCTGCTGCATTCAAGCTGCTCCACCCTTTGGCTTTGTGCTTCCTCCTATATATATAGCTCCTCTGCCTATTCACCGCTCCCAGCCCATTGGCTGATTCGACTCATCACCTACAATCACCCACACCTGTGGAGACTATTAGCTCTCTGCATGCAGAACCATTCTGAGCCGATCGATTATTCAGCCTCTCCGTGGCCAATCGGCTTACGACTATGGGGACAACTCGCCTGCAACAAAACGGGTCTTTCTGATTGTTTAGCACACGGTCACTCTACTGCAATTGCATTGCCGCACTCGGCGTAGATTGGCCGGCCGCACACCCATGGGACCGTGTTCATGAACGCCGCATCAACTTTCTTTTTTGCGTTTAGTTTGTCCTTTCCCGGTGGTTGGCTGGGTGCGGTGCCGAGGAAGTCCCAATGCGTGCACGTAAACACGTGAACACGCGCGTGCTTGTACCGCCCCCCCCCCTGCCCCCGCTTGCAGGACGCGATGTCGGACGAGGGGAAGCTGCTGCAGTGCCCCCTGTGCAAGTGGGTGCTCATCAGCCACGCGGCGTTGCAGGACCACATGAAGAAGCACGGGCGGCAGACCGAGGTGGAGTACTTTCAGTGCGGGTGGTGCTCTTATAGCACCTACTGCCGGCGCACGCTCAGCAACCACGAGAGGATCCACACGGGCGAGAAGCCCTACAAGTGCGCCGTGTGCGACAAGGCCTTCACCGAGATGGGACCGCTCAACAAGCACAAGCGGACGCACACGGGCGAGAAGCCCTACAAGTGCGCTACGTGCGGCAAGGTTTTCGCGCACTCGGGCACCCTCAAAACGCACGAGAAGTCGCACACCTCCGAGAAGACCTACAAGTGCCCCGTGTGCACCAAGGTGTTCGCCAGCCCGGAGAGCGTTCAGAGCCACCGGGCGGTGCACAACGGCAAGAAGCCGTTCGAGTGCGACGCGTGCGGCAAGGCGTACGCCAACCTGGGGTTCCTTGAGCGCCACGAGGCGACGCACGCCGAGGAGAGGCCGTACGTGTGCACGGTGTGCGACAAGTCGTTCACGCACGCCAAGGACCTGCGCAGCCACCAGAGGGTTCACCTGCGCAAGAGGAAAGGCTACAAGTGCAAGCGATGCGAGAGGTCGTACACCAGGCTGGGCGCCCTCCGTACGCACGAGAAGACGCACGCCGACGACGCGCCGCACGCTTGCTCCGAGTGCGGCGAGGCGTTCACGGAGCTGGACAGCCTGCATCGGCACGAGATGACTCACAAGGAGCAGAAGCCACTGCTGTGTTCAGAGTGCGGCGAGGCGTTCACGGAGCTGGAGAGCCTGCGTCGGCACGAGAGGTCTCACAAAGACAAGGAGCAGAAGCCACTGCTGTGTTCAGAGTGCGGTGAGGCGTTCACGGAGCTGGACAACCTGCTTCAGCATGAAAGAACTCACAAGGAGCAGAAGCCACTGCTGTGTTCAGAGTGCGGCGAGGCGTTCACGGAGCTGGACAGCCTGCGTCAGCACGAGAGGACTCACAAAGAGCAGAAGCCACTGCTGTGTTCAGAGTGTGGCGAGGAGTTCACTGAGTTGGACAGCCTGCGTCAACACGAGAGGTCCCACAAGGAGCAGAAAGCAACGTCATCAAACAGGCAGCAGCAGGAGGACAGTGACATGGGTACAAACCCGCGTGGTCTGGAAATTTCCTAGATGTTCCTCACGCTTGGTTTGAGATAAGGAGTGGGGATTATGGTCAAATGATACATCTGTAGCGGCATCGTTGAGGGCTGTACGCGATTTCCAATACTTGTAGCCTGTAGCAACGGCCTCGAGTCAACAGGCAGCAGAAGGGTGATGAGTCAGGCCGTTGGGTTAAGGTAACCCTAAGGCAGCTCAGGACCACAGGTACAAACCCCCAGACCCCCAGGAAGGGGGCTGGGGGATAATGTCACTCCCCAGGCCCTTCCAGACGGTTCCAGAAAGGAGGAGTGGCCAGGGGCAGAGTGAGCCAGAATCCAGTATAAAAAATGGTCCCCTGAACGGGTCCGGCAGTCATCGTTCCGATACTTAGGGAGATATTCCTCCGGGTAGCCTACCTAACACTGGCTATGCTCTAGCCTCTTCACTGGCTAAGCTTTTGGCCCGACCCGAGCCAGGGGTCGGGTTCAGCCCTTTGGGCTCTTTGCTTCGGGTTTTCAAGGTGGCAGCTCCAGGGTGGTTCTTGAGTCTCCAGGTGCACGACGACTGCCGGACCCGTTCAGGGGACCGTCTTTTATACTGGATTCTGACTCACTCTGCCCCTGGCCACTCATCCCTTCTGGAACCGTCTGGAAGGGCCTGGGGAGTGACGTTATCCCCCAGCCCCCTTCCTGGGGGTCTGGGGGTTTGTACCTGTCATCCCGAGTTACCTTAGGGTTACCTTAGCCCAACGGCCTAACTCATCACCCTTAGACTCCCTTCTGCTCCATGTTGACTCGAGGCCGTTGCTAGAGGCTACAATTCGTGGCAATCACGTACAGCGCTCAACGATGCCGCTACACATCCCTGGAATCACCAGAGGACACTCGTGGCGAACTGCACTTCTTAGACTTTTTCCAAACATGTATGTGCCGTAATTCATAGACGCGACGTGTGTGCGTGTGTGTACGTGAGAAGAAAACACATTCGGATTCAGAATCTTTATTTATCCTGGAGAAATCCGATGAGTTATGACGCTCTTTTTCACAGATGTCCAATAGGGGCAGGTCAGAAAGTTGCAACAACAAACAGTACAGCAACACGATAGGAGTGCAAAGTATTCGAAAGGTAAGCAAGTCACTAAAAATAAATGAAATAGATCAAATATAAGTTCTAATTGTATAAGAACATTAACTTCCCAAGCTTGGGCAAGGCAGCAAAACAACATCAAAAACAGTCCCAGACCACACCAAGACAACACACAGTCCCTCAATAAAATGGCGCATTAAAAGTTAACTATTGATGTATGTATGTTCAACTTATTTCGCATCGTGCACAGCCAACCCTGCTAATCGGACGTGCGGGTAAGGGTGAAAGTTACAAATCACATTTGCAAATGCAGTTTTATGCAGCGCTTAATCCCCTTCTTGAGGATATTTTTTGAAGGAAGATTTGACGCTCCACTCGTCAAACACTGGAGGGTCCTCTGTGGCAAGAACTCATCATCAGAATCTTTATTTATCCTGGAGAAATCCGATAACCTATGAAGCTTTTTTGCACGGATGGAAAGCCATCCTCAATGTCTTCAAGACATGGCCAGAACTCTGCAGTCCAGCAAGAACCACGGTCTGGCAGCTCCCCATCGACTTACACCTCAGATTGTGTCCTCTTGAAACCATGCCTGGTGGTCATCGACAGCCCTTCACGGTGAATCCATGTTCAGATGTTCACAGGGGGGTTTAGTAGGGGAAGCGGTCAGCCTGGGCCTCTTGAGAGTTGGTGAGATTAACTCCCTCGCCTATTATGCAGGAGATCGTGGGTCTGATCCCGACCCCGACGCCTGTTGTATATGTGGAGTTTGCATGCCTCCCTCTCTCTCCCCGTGGTTGCGTGGATTTTTCTCCGGGTCCTTCCGTTTTTCCCTCCACATTTAGAACACTATGTAACACAATTTTTGTTCCTGGGTAGTAAATGTTATTTCGTAATTGCTTATGCCTAAAAGTATAGGAAATGGCTTTTATTCCCCACAAACTTTGCTTTTCTGACCAGGACAGTGATATTTATAAATGTACCTATTTTCAATGAGAAAACAGGCGAATTTGTTTCTTTTCGTTCACATGAAGTCAAAATACAACAACATGAATCATACTAAAGTAATACAAAAATGACTACAAAAGATTTAGAAGTCAGTAGTTTTTCGAGATTTACGATTATACTGTAAATCACTTTCATGAATCAGCCCCCAAATGTAGTCTCCCATCATGTTCTCGTTATACTGTCCTTGGTAGCGGCGTTCAAAGTCCAGTATATTCTGGTGGAAGCGCTCGCCTTGCTCCTCCAAGTACACTCCCATGTTCTCCTTGAATTTTTCAAGATGAGCATCAAGGATATGGACTTTGAGGGACATCCTACAGCCCATTGTGCCGTAGTTCTTCACCAGAATCTCAACCAGCTCAATATAGTTTTTTGACCTTGTGATTGCCCAGGAAGCCACGGACCACTGCGACAAAGCTGTTCCAAGCTACTTTCTCCTTACGATTGAGCTTCTTGGGGAATTCATTGCACTCCAGGATCTTCTTTATCTGTGGTCCGACGAAGACACCGGCTTTGACCCTTGCCTCGGACAGCTTAGGGAAGAAGTCTTGAAGGTACTTGAAGGCTGCCGACTCCTTATCTACAGCTCTGACTAATTGTTTCATAAGGCCCAATTTGATGTGCAGTGGTGGCATCGGCACCTTCCGGGGGTCCACCAGTGGCTCCCACTTGACGTTCCTCCCCACAGAGAACTCAGTTCGCTGTGGCCAGTCCCGTCTGTGGTTCTTGCGCATTGGTGTCTAAATCTTTTGTAGTCATTTTTGTATTACTTTAGTATAAATACATGTTAATTTTGATTCATGTTGTTTTTTTCTGCCTTTATGTGAACAAAAAGACACAAATTTGCCCGTTTTCTCATTGAAAATAGGTGAGATTTCCAAATATCACTGTCCTAGGTCACAAAAGCAAAGTTTGTGGGGAATAATAGCCACTTTCTGTACTTTTGAAGCATAAGTAATTAGGAAATAACACTACCCAGGAACAAAAAAGAAATTACACAGTGGAATCAACATCGCCGCGCGTTTAGAGGATTTGGCCGCCGCTATAAATTTCCACATGATGATAAGCCACTTCGTTGAGTTATCATTTGTGGCCAGGTCGCTTCGTGGGCCTTACCTAGAACCAGGTATGAATATCAATTTAAATCTTTCGTGACTGCAGAGATTCATCTTCTTGGTTCTTTCGGTAAAGTCACGTAGAAGGGAAATAATAAATAATAAAAATAAAACATAATAAAATAAAATAATATTATAAAATAATATAATAGAATTCTCGCTTGTATTATATTTTATTATGTTTAATTTTTTTTATTTCCCTTCTACGTGACTTTACTGAAAGAACCAAGAAGACAGGTATGAATACTCATACTCTTTGGGTCTTTCGGTAAAGTCACTTAGATCGGTATGAATGTTGAACAAGCCAGCCATGCTAATCGGAGGTGGCGGAATGGAAACTTCAGGGTTCTCACAGCAGGCTTTTGATAACGGAAGGAAGGCGTCGGGGGTCTGGCTGACTGCATCTGACTGCATCTCGTATCTCCAAGAAGCACAGTTGGCTTCGTACGGCACGAAATAATTTTGATTTAAAGCTTTCGTGACTGCAGGGACATTCGAGTAGTGCTCGACTTAAGAACACAATCAGTTCCTGAGGCCTGTTCGTAAGTGGACCAGTTCATAGGTCAGAACACAATCATGTACTGTCTTTAAATGCCCATACGAAATGCATTACGGTTCAACAAAAAAATGGAAGCATTGTTAAAACTCACAAGAAGAAATATTGTACATTTGCATGAAACACTGTAAACACAATACTGTATAGTAAATAAAACATGAAAAATAAAGTAACAAATAGAAACATCCGTTTTATTTTCACCTCCCTTGAGTCCTGATGCTGGCTTATTACAGACAAATTCAGACCTTGTTGGCGATGAGGCACCTGAATGCATGCGCCGCTTTTCGGAGGGCAATGAATGGCACCGAGATAGATGATCGTGCCGACTGGTATGCGTCGAACAAGAAGCGGGCGAAGCCACCGTAGGCAAGCGGCAGCTCAACTCCATCTACATCGAATGCTTCGTCGATGAAGCAAGGATCAATCAAAGATTACCTAATACCCAAGCTCGATAAGCGAACGAAGGAGAAGTTTGGGCAGGCCATAGCAATGCATTACTTTGTCTCAGGCACGTCGTTCCAGCGGGTCGAGGAGGAGAACATGGTGATCGCTGTGAAGGCCCTTCGCCCAGATTCAGTGCTGCCAAACGGGAAGTTGCTGGCCAGACCATTGCTCGACAGGGCGTACATTGACATGAAGAATGTTGACACCGTCCTGGACAATAAGACCGTTTACCTGACATCTGATGCGTGGTCAAACATTGAGAATGGTCCAATTTTGGACTACATGGTCACATCGCCGTCCACAATGTTGTTTCACTACCCAGTGTCTCACCACCCAGTGTCCTCACTACCAGTGTCTCACTACCCAGTGTCTCACCACCCAGTGTCTCACTACCCAGTGTCTCACCACCCAGTGTCTCACTACCAGTGTCTCACCACCCAGTGTCTCACTACCAGTGTCTCACTACCAGTGTCTCACTACCCAGTGTCTCACTACCCAGTGTCTCACCACCCAGTGTCTCACCACCCAGTATCTCACTACCCAGTGTCTCACTACCAGTGTCTCACTACCCAGTGTCTCACCACCCAGTGTCTCACCACCCAGTATCTCACTACCCAGTGTCTCACTACCAGTGTCTCACTACCCAGTGTCTCACCACCCAGTGTCTCACTACCCAGTGTCTCACCACCCAGTGTCTCACCACCCAGTGTCTCACTACCAGTGTCTCACTACCCAGTGTCTCACCACCCAGTGTCTCACTACCCAGTGTCTCACCACCCAGTGTCTCACTACCAGTGTCTCACCACCCAGTGTCTCACTACCAGTGTCTCACTACCAGTGTCTCACTACCCAGTGTCTCACTACCCAGTGTCTCACCACCCAGTGTC